AAAAAATAACCGCTGGCACCTGGTACCAGACCTGGTGCCAGTCTTGGTGCTGGTTCAGCACAAACCAGTGTGCAGTGTACCATACAGATATCAGTTCCTTCGGTGACTTTACAGTGTACAGGTACATACATGTACATATACAGCATACTGCCCTGTGTGCTGAGATCAATGATACATGTACATGTACATGTAGGTTCCTATTACATCTTTAATGCTTATCAAGTTTGCTTCAAGATAAATTCATTATCATGCTCATAGAACATGGAATAATGTACCTGTATATGTTTCCCGTACATGTAATCTTTGGTTGAGTTCGGGCGACATGTTCTTGACACAGATTTTTTACTCTCTTGCTCGAACGGTGGGAACACGACTCAAAAACACTGTTCTCGGAACAGAAATCACACACCGTCTCCTTGTCAGGGTTTTACAGGAACACACGGAAAAACTTGTGAGATTTTGATTTTTGAACAGCTTCTAAAAGTAGAGAGATGGCTTCCAAAGCCAGAGACAATGGGAAGTTTTGCAAAATTAACAATACCACAACACAGAAACGAATGTTCCTGTTTAAAAAGAAAAGAATTTGGCCCATCCAAATATTAGCTCTCAAAAATAACGTACACGGAGACCGCAATGTTGCATGTTGCTTGCCACTAACTACCAGCAATAACCATTTGTTTGTTCCCGGCGTTTGAGCGGCTGACCCACAAAAAACAAATCGAACTGTTCGTGAACATACGAAAACAAGCCACCTGAACTCGGCCAATCAGTCTTTGGCCTCAAGGTATACGCAACACAGACGCATTACCAGTACATTATTCTGTGTTCCAATGGCACTCGTGTGATAACTAACACTGGCGCACAGCACCGAAAGACACAAGTCATCAGTCTGAGTATGCTCGCTGTGTCCCACGTCCGCAAAGTGTGCATGAATCTGAGCATGCACCCCAAACAAGGGGCCGTGACTGCTTTATAATTTAAGCATGCCGTCTTTGCTCCTGCATAAGTGGATTCAAGCGTTGGTAACACAATACACATGTAGTGCATTTAGTGCAAAAATGAAGATTTTATATGTTGCCCTTGGCACCACAATGGACAAATGGAATACATGTACATGTACCACTACTGCTATCAAAACCAGATTATTGACTGCTTTACTTATACAGACAAGCTTTTTGTTTCCAGTTTAAACCAAGTACGAAGGGTAGATGTGGACATATCATGGAGGCAGGACACAAACCTCCACGGACATATTTAGATAGTCTTTGTATTTTTACTCAAAATACAGATCCTTTCAATATTCTGACATTCAGGAAACAAAATACATGTACATGTATGTGTAGGTCTGCAATCTCAGGTACCAGCCAGAGGCATACATGTACATGTATCTGTTCCAAGGGCTACTTGAATGATTGCAAAGATTTCAAACTTCGTACTTTCTTTATTTTTGAATCTTACCTCACATTTTTACCAAGGAAACAGAAAGAAACAAGGAAAAATCAATATGCACTCGTAGCAAAGATACAAAAGGTCCAGCCAGGCCTACATAACATGTACATACATGTACACAATGTATATGTAGCTTAAGATTTGTACGGATGGGATTCTTGACATACTTGATGGTTCAACCCTGCCAAACAGTGCTCAATATTCATACATTTTAATACACAAAACCTGTTTTTTATTCATGATTCATACTCAGTCTTCCTATTCAACAGTGACTAATTTCCCTGCTGAGAAGTGAAGTCTCAGGAGATGAGATGGTGTACCTTCAGCACACCGTTCCTATAATCATAGAGGTAGAAATAGAATCCTAGTCATGCTAGTGCCGGCCTATTTACATTGTATTTAGTACATGTACCTGCTTGGTTCAGGTAATTTTTGACAAATAACCAAGAAGACCAGAATTTTCTTACCTGCGTTTGGCAAAATATGACTGCGTCACTCCATTTTTAACGCTGTATTGAATGCATTCACCACTTCGAGCACTAGCTGCATCCATTCTCCACAGCCGGTCTTAAAACGCAGCTACATACATGTACGTGTAGAGTTACCGATCCAGTCTAAAACGAGGAAAGCTACTCGAGCTAGCCAAGAATGGTTTCTTCCACCATGCTTCCAGAAGTTCCACATGATCTGGTTTTCGAAATGTGCGGACTGACTGCAGACTGAAACACTGGCCATGTTGGCGAAATGCCGCTGTGTTCTCTAGTAAAGCCTTGCTGCAATTTCTTAGTTGCTTCGTTTTACCTGATGAAATACCTTTATATGTGGCGGTTCTTCCGGACCGTCTCGCTGATTCTCGCGGTCGGCGCGACGTCACGGCAAAGGAGCGAATTTACCCTTCGTGCTATTCAATAATGTACAGAAGTTTCCAGATGTCCTACGGAGCCCCTAAAGGGACTTCCGACGAAAACAAACTCTGTAACAGAATAAAATTTCAAACAATTTTTCGTGTGCACGAAACCATTTCGTTCGCACGAAATCATTTCGTACGCACGAAATAAATTATTTCA